TTTTTAAATTCGATTTCGCGGTTCGAGTCTGGGTTCGATTTCTACCCGGCTCACCGTTTCCACAACGGTTCTGGGCTGATTCGGGTCAAACTACATGAGGCCTAGAACCGACCTAGTCAAACTACAAGCTCGGTTCTGGGCTGGTTCGGGTCGAATTGGCGAGCCAAGCCGGGCCGATTTATGGCCATGATTAGTACTCTAAACCCGTAAAATATAAACATGAACGTGCATACAATATATCTACTTTAATTCGCTAAAAAATACACACCTCTACTTTGATTCACTAAAGAATGAGGTCTTTTCTGTTGGACTAATGGCCTAAGTGAGATCCATTCATAACTATGAGAATTATCTATAAGCTAATAAAAAATTACGATTCTATTTAAATATGATTAAATATGATTCTATTAAAAAAATATTTTGTCATTATTAAATATGATTACGATTTTATTATTAAAATTATATTAAAAATAAGTGTATATTATAGGAGAAATGTTATAGGTACATAATATTGTACATAGGGGTGTACATAACACTCACATTGAGTGGAATCCACCAAAAATAAAAAATCAAGTAGACCCAACTCCATGTGAGTGTTGTACACTTAATTTTATCATACCACCAAATTGGAGTATAATAAGTAGGGGTTAAAATAATCACATAAATTTCGCAGCCCTTGGCAAGCTCACTACACTTATGTGAATATCCAGTCCACCATTCAGGCCCATTCGTTTGAGTTGTACAAAAAAAACCCTAATCAAAACAATCACCCGCCTACAAATTTCAGCAACCAACAAAAAAAGCTCCACGAAATAAGCTTTCGTGGGCTTTATCTGGGACGTTTATTTTGCTTCAAATATTAATAGTTGGATGTTTTTTAGAGCCACAAGCTTCACTTCTGAACGTTTCTTCGGCTTCGGAGCTTTGCTTTTGGACGTTCTTTCACTGCCGATCTTCGATTTTGGACGTTTGCCTGGCTGTCAAGTATAGCTTCTAGACGTTTGTTTTCATAGGTGAGCTATAATGTAGGACGTTTAGTATGCTTTAGAGCTTAACTCTTGGAAGTTTCACTTGGCCTCAAGCTTTTCTGTTAGACGTTTAGCGGCATAATAAACTTGCAATTTAAAAGTTTTAAATGTGTTGCCCCGTCTCATTTAGACGTTTCTCTTCAGAGTCGGGCTTTCTAGTTAGATGTTTACTTGACTTTCAAGCTTTGCTACTGGACGTTTGTTTTCACAATGAAGCATCTAAGTTAGACGTTTGCCTACCTTATAAGCTTAGCTTGTGACGTTTGTTTACACAGTGGAGCTTCCATGTTGGACGTTTGCCTGCCTTACAAGCTTAGCCTCTGGACGTTTCACATGGTCTCAAGCTTTCCATTTAGACGTTTAGCGGCATAATAAGCTTGCAATGTAAAAGTTTTAAATGTGTTGCCCAAATGAGACGTTTCTATTTAGAGTCGGGCTTCTTCTTGGACGTTTCCTATGCTTTCAAGCTTAGCCCTTAGACGTTTGTCTTCACAATCGGGCTTCTTTGTTGGACGTTTCTTTTGCTGCCAAACTTAGTTTCTAGACGTTTTTTTGACTTCCAAGCTTAGTTGATAGACGTTTGAATACATTTTTTTCCATTATAATTTTTTTTATTTATCACAAGAATATTTTTATAAATTTATAATTTTTTATTATTTTTTTCGGACGACAAATAACAACACCCTTTATTTTGTGGGTTTTTTTTTCTCCTTTTTTTTCTCTTTTTAGATTGAAACATGATAATTCGATGATAATAATCGGACAAGTGGGGGCACACTTCCTTATTAGCCGACTCTCACTATTATTTTTCTATTTCTGAATGGAATCTTCACTCAAACCCGCCGCGTTCACACCTCCACCCCAGATATTTTAACCTAATTACCCGTTCTACCCTTCCCCTCGTTCGGAACCATCGCCAACTTAGAAGGGTCTTTCCGTCTTTACACGCAAGAACCACAAATGAGACCAAAAAAAGTCCGTCCTCATTCATGACTTCCCGCTTTCAAATCCAACAAATCTCATTCTAAATTCTCCACCTACCATTAAACGGTCCAATACACCACCTAATCCCCTACGCCGCCCAAATCTCAGCCGTCCATCCCCGATCGGACGCCTCCGAAGCTATCTTCTGGAATCTTCTCTCACTACTCTGTATAAATATTAGCTTCATTGTCACAAAGCTGCTGCAAGGACCTCGTGCTCACCACACGCGCATTTTCTGAGACTTTTGGATTACCATTTCTCTTCTGCTTTCCTGTGTTCTTCATTTCAAGGTCAGTGGATTTGTGTTTATCGCCATTTTTTTAGATGTTTTTTGGAGGTTTGATTGCTTGTTTTTCGTGTACGTTTTTTGTGCTTTTTTGGATTTTTTGTTGGTGGATGGATTGTTTCTTTGCTTTCCTGTGTGTTTCGTGTTGAGCTCAATCCACACGATTTGTCATGTCCTGTATTTATCGCCATTTTTTATTTTTTTTTGGAGCTTCGATTGCTTGTTTTCGTGAACGTTTTTGTGATCTTTGGATTTGTGTTGTTAAATTATTTAGCGTTCGTGTGTGTTTCATCTCGTGGTAAGTAGATTTATGGTTCCCATGATTTGCCATTTTTGTGTTTTTGGAGTTTTTGATTGCTGGTTGTCGTTGACTCTTTTTTGGGTGTGTTTTTGGGGTTTGTGTTGCTGGATTATTTTCGCTGTTGATCTGATGGGAATAGATCTGATTTGCAGAAATCGACGAAAATGGTGAAGAACTACCCGACTGTGAGTGAGGAGTACCTCCAGGCTGTTGACAAGGCCAGGAAGAAGCTCAGAGGTCTCATCGCTGAGAAGAACTGTGCTCCTCTCATGCTCCGTCTTGCGTAAGTTGTTCTACTCTTTCGCTTGATTGTGTTTCCTTTTTTTGGGACCTTGAAGATCTTGTTTATAAGTAGTTGTGTGTTGTTTATCGGTAGTCTTGCTTTTTGATGGCTGTGATTTTACGGATGGATTCGGATTAGATATTGGCCTGTAGTTCTGGAATGTACACTTTAACTGATTATCACTGTTGGACGGTGTTGCTGTGAAGCCAACAGTTGGCTCCATAGTGGAATCAACCTTCTATACACAACAAATAAATCTACCATATTAATAAAATTATATTAGTGTTATTTAAGTAATCAGAAAATATGGTAGGTTTATTTGTTGTATATAGAAGGTTGGCACCACTGTGGATCAAACGGTTGAAATGTGCACTTTAACTGATTATCACTGTTAGAGAGCCAACTGTTGGTTTCATAGCAAAATCGCATTGCCGGATTTATCTGGGTGTGTTTGGAAAGATTTGAGTGTCCATTTACCATATTTCTTCTCTAATTAGATAAACCACATTTAGTTCACACACATACTAAACAGTACCATTTATCAGTTTTATCAGTTTAAATCATAATTAATCAACTGATGTTAGAATAGCTTCCAACAATGAGATGTACCTTTTCCAGCCCAAATCAGAGACTTCTATTTACTTATCCTTTTCATTGAGTTTAAAAACTTGATTTAGTAATAAATGCTGCAAGTTTGTTGTTAAATTATGAGGTGATATTAGGATTCATGTTGTGAGAGAATTGAAAATAGCGCAAAAATTGTTTTCAATCGAGGCCGGTGGATGGTAAGCTTTTACTCTCTAATGAGGTTTCTTTACTCTCTAGTTAATTTTATTTTTCCCTTTTCCTGTTCTATTTCCCTTATGTTACTAGTTTTATACCTAGTGCATTGAAAAAATGTTATCATGGTATACTGCATCATATGTGTGAAATTTGTGGCCTTGATCGAGCGAATACTATTTGTGATTGCAGATGGCACTCGGCTGGTACCTATGACAAGCTTAGCAAGACTGGAGGCCCTTTCGGCACAATGAGGCTTGAGGCTGAGCTGGGGCATGGTGCCAACAACGGCCTTGACATAGCTGTTAGGCTCCTGCAGCCAATCAAGGATCAATTCCCCATCCTCTCTTATGCTGACTTCTATCAGGTAGTTTTTTATCCTCTTTACGCAGGCTCATCATTCATGGCTCAGAAAGTTGCAGTTCTTATGTTCTTTTTTTCTTTTTTGAATTGCATTCAGTTGGCTGGAGTTGTAGCAGTTGAAGTGACTGGAGGACCTGAAATTCCATTCCACCCAGGCAGGAAGGTAAGTTAAAGTCATTTTTCTTTGTCTACGATATATTTTTCTTGCTATGTAATTTTCAACTGACCTATGAAGTTCACATTCTGCGATTGTTTTTGCCTGATAATGAGGTGGAGAAGCATTTATAGAAGATAGATTTTTGTAATGTACTTGTTGATTCTATGTGTCATTTCATTTTTGATCTACGAGGGACTATTCTTTTCGCAAGAAACTCTTATGTGTCATCACATATGAGGTGTTGTTACTCGAGTATGACGGTTAATGTGTTGTAGAAATTACTCTGAAAATTTGGTTCTGGTGGATGGAGCCTTTGTTTTTCACATGGTCATAAACAAGGGCTAAAAAAAGTTGTATTTGTGAACATATGAAAAACTTTGTGGGTTATAATGTGATATCATATTTGATTTGTTTGTTGTGGGAGATATTATTTGCTTGAAAGTTTTAATATGACTGGTATATATGAGGAAACTTATGTAAACTGTAAAATGTCAGGATGAGCTGGAGGCACCAGTTGAAGGCCGCCTGCCAGATGCTACTCAGGGTAAGTAGTCCCGATTCCGTTCTCCTCTCTCTCTCTCTTTTTTTTTTTTAAATGTAGAACAAAAATTTGAGTTATTTCATTTTCAAAACTATTATCTACTATCTATCTCATCGTTGCATACTATTTCAGGATGTGACCACCTCAGGGATGTTTTCATCAAACAAATGGGTCTAACCGACAAGGACATTGTTGCATTGTCCGGTGGCCACACTCTGGTTTGTACTTTGGCTGCCATCTTTTCGGTTTACAACTTACCTTAGAACGAATTTTTCAACTTTATTGCTTATAATCTTTCTCTCTCTGTATGCAGGGAAGGGCCCATAAGGAACGCTCTGGATTTGAGGGACCGTGGACTTCAAACCCTCTCATCTTTGACAACTCTTACTTCAAGTAAGAAATGTGATACATATTTACCTAATTAGAGTCGGTGTTAAAAATTCTCAGTTTCATCTCTTTCGTTTTATAGTATTCGCTGATTTCATTTAATAATCTGTTTGTGTTTCAACTGCCAGGGAGCTTCTGGAAGGAGACAAAGATGGACTCTTGAAGTTGCCGTCTGATAAGGCTCTTCTTTTTGACCCTTCGTTCCGCCCACTCGTGGAGCTATATGCTAAGGTTTGTACATATTAGTAAATCCATTCTTGTCTCGTTCAGATATCATGTATGCTGTTCTATTTTACTTAAGCAATTGTTGTTTTTGTGTCAGGATGAGGATGCTTTTTTTGCTGATTATGCCGAGTCCCACTTGAAGCTCTCTGAGTTGGGGTAATCTTCTGTTTTTTTTTTTGGGATTTTGGTCTTTGATGGTGGGCTCATTTGGTATTTTACGAAGTATTATTCTGATGTTTTCGCTTCTCCTCAATTTGTCTTTTTTTCTTTTCCTTTTTTTTTTCACCTTTGGGTTTGTAGATTTGCTGAGGCATAAGGAGCTTAACATTGGGGTGAAGCATGGAATGAAGAGTGATGGCTGATTTTTTGTTAAATTTATGTACTTTTGCTATTTTTAGACGAAATGTAT